GCAAAAATTGCGATCTTCCGTATGCGAATTTCATTTCTTTCAAAATCGATGATGAGTGAATCTATCTGTAGAAGAATATACGCTATAGTCAAACACAAACTGAAGTTTGATATCTCAAATTAGCCCTCACTCTTATCATAACACGTGATATCATTTGCTATCAATCATACCCTTATCTTTTACTAACAATATATTATGTCAAAATGGAAATAAAAAATCTTAAAAGTGATATGGACAAGTCTTCTTGCAATTATTTTCATTTGTCTGTTTACTTTAATGCAATAAAATTGAAGTAAAAAAAAATACCATCTGATGGACGCCAAAGCTATTTCAGTATCACATTGTTTTCGTGCTTGTGAACTTTGTTAGCAACTCTTTCAGCAATGCCTTATTCAAAAATATTATGATTTCGAAGTTGACACGACCCTATGGGGAAAAGCAATACGGTGTCCAATGTGTTTGCTACCTCTCCTCTCGAAGGATACTTACAGTGCGCCGTGTGGTCATTCGCTTCATATACAGTGTTTCGAAAAATGGAAAAACGTAAGTTGTATCGATCACATTTATGGTAAAAATGACGTGCATACTGAGATCAGTTTGTTTTCTATATCAAATCTTCTACAAATGATAATATATGCCAACTTTATCACTTACTTTTAACTTTATTATCTTATACCTTAAATTTTCACTCATCACTTTTACTTTAACGATGAAGCCATAATCTTCTAGCATGACTAATTTAATGCGTTAAAATATATTTTTTAATTGAACAAAATATATTAGTTAATAATCCTAAATTATTTAATGAAAATTTATTAAAATTTAATTTTGTACAATAAAAGTCATCGAAAGTTAACTGATAAGTGGAATTGTCTAATATTTCAGATTGATTCGGAATGTCAAGTTTGTCGTAAGAAAGCAGTATTCGAAAATATGGATAATGATTTGTTGAGAATATTAACTGAAGAAACGCCTTCACTTAACCGAGACAATTCAGATGAGGTTTGCTTATTTGTTTTAAATTCCCAAAAATTCATTTGCCGAAAAATGAAATATTATCATTTGCTCGCTTTTATATTATTTTTGTTAAATGCATCTTTTTTTATTTTCTTTAAATTATAGGCTTTTAAATATGTTCACTCTTTCATATCTTCGCTCAAATCCTGCTATATATTTTGCTAGCCGGAATAATTGTTTATGGAAAGTTAAAGTAAATGTATGTGAACTGATAGAGATATAGAAAGAAAATATTATTGTATGACTTTTGTTTTTCGGGTGAAAAAGTATCGGAGGAGCATTTAATTAAAGTTTAAGATAATCTTAATTTCAATGATTATTGATTCTGCTCACAATGTTTCTGTCATTTTTGATATCGATCACTCAATTTATATTCTGATGCCGTTTGATTAAATCCTATTCTCTAAATCGATAGCATTCAAAAATTTTTTTCGGAACATATTTAGCGATTTTCATCAATCATTTTACCTTATTTCATTTTATGTTATCCCAATTACAAGCGAATGCTTTTTTTCTTGCATTTTCATATGTGAATATATTTCTCTAAAAAATTCTAATTAAAAACTTAGCCAGAAATAAAGTTGAATTAAAATTTGGCTATTATTTGCATGAATTTTGAATATTTTTAGGCTGAACGCGAATCGGACAAACTTCTAAGAGAAAATACAACTTCACATCTGAAAATAATACGAGCCGTCATGTTGTTAGACACTGCACTGAAGTTATAACTAAAAATTACGACAGCTATTAACAACGTGGAATACATATAGTTTAATTTAATTTGGTTTTATATCGTATCAAAAAATATTTTCAGTCAACTATTCCTCTCATAATTTACTTGACAATTTACATTTTTGTTTACATAAAATAAATTAGTAATGAAAAAATGAAGCAAAAGTTTTATCAAAGTTTTTATAAATTTTTGATCATTCAAACTTTTTTTCTGTTGTTTGCATTGGAAGGAATGAAATGATTCCCATTATTGTTGATTACGTGCAGATGAGATATTTGCTTTAATAAAAACAATAAAAAAAAAGATATTGAAATTTTGGAAACAATTCAAATTTATTTCTGGAAATAAAAAATTAAAAAGATGAACAAAGCAAAGCAAACATCTCATTTTTTGTGGTATTTGCTCTTTTTCATTATTTTTGTATACGAATTGTTTGCTAATTATCAAATCTTTTAAATAAAACCATTATTATCAAAATATTTAATTGATATCTCCTACTCCTAATGAAGAACTTCATTTGCGAAGTAACAATATTTTCAATCTCATTTACTTTGTGAATCATACACCATTGATAAATAAAAATTTGATGGTTGCAATCACTTTTTTGATCGAAATTCCATTAATAGGAACCTATTGTAGTTAAAAAACTGATTTTTTCTCGAATATTTTTGACTTAGACCATGAGCCAATTAAGTATTTTTATGCAATTCAAAGCCTAAGACACAATTTTGAAGAGTTTGACGTCAAGAGGCCAAAAGTTCTTTCCAGTGCAAATATGGGTGAATATGTATGAGACTGAAATAATGACTGCTAAATGTTGCTGACAGCTCATACTTTGATCCTTGATATGAACCATCTGACACTGATAGGAGCAACCTGCAAGAATGCTTCACATGAAACTGTTTTTTTATTTAATATTTTCAAAACTATTTCATCATAAACATATCCGTGAAAGGCTATATAATCACAGTTTTGGTCAAAAAATAATAACGGCGAATATCGTGTCAATACAAGTTGAAATCAACTTCCTGCCCTTTCGTAGCAGTTCTACAATTATCTCAGGTCAGAAGAACTTAGAACATACAAACTGTTTCAGAAAATAGAAAATAAAGAAATGTAGAAAAACAAAAGAGGAAAACCAATTAAAGAAGAGTGCATTTTTGAATCCAAAAATGCAGTAATGGTAAGGATGATTATTTTAAAGTGTTGGTCTTCCAAATAAAATCCAAAATCTTATTTTTCTCCTCACGGGATTTTTATGAATGACAGCATGAAACGCCAATTTATCTAGCGATCAAAATATAGAATGATACCAAGCCAATCTGAGATCAGCTTATGAAGCTTAAATTCTAAATGCAGAAGAGCGACACTCTAAAAAATGGAACTCATGCAAGAAACTATTGCACCACCTTTTAATCTTATCTCTATTAATTATTAAAGATATAAAAATTCCCAGCAAAGGCAGTAAGATATAATATCAATACATCAGAAGCAGCAGAAAAATATCAATATAAAGGAATAATATACATCAGATAGATCTCAAGAAGTAAAAGGCAGAATATAAGCAAAAAAATTTACAATTAATGAAAATTGAGTTGTTATGTAACTCAGAAAACAAATTCAAGAACTTTCTTCGAAAAAAGCTTGAATATAACAGAAAGAATGAAAGTTAGATCCTCAAAATCTTGTGTTTTTAAAGGAAAAAGTTCGAAATTCAAAATTTGGCTTATAACAAAAAATGAAATGCATGGAAGTTTTAAATTTTTTAAAAAATTTAACACTTTAATGAATTTCAAATACAGAAGGAAATAATAAGAACTAATTTGTTTAAGAACAAGAAAAATTTAATTAAATTCTCCTAGTCATGACAAGTGAATTACACATCAGAAAAATTCCATGACCACAGTAATCGTAAAGAAGCAATTCGTTGCTCAAATGTCACAGACGTATCGCGACATGCAGCCAAGTATCGATTTGATTTTGTCCAAAATTTACCATACAACTGGTAAATGAGCTTGTCACAAAATACCTGCAAAAACCTTCTTTTATTTTAATTATATTAACCTGTTAATCCCTGTTTTCCATTTTACATTGTATCCGTCTTATTTAGCTTATCCATGTGAATAAAGAAGAACAGATACCTTTTATGTGCATGTTAAAATATAAGAAAAGCAAACATCTGAAATTATCGTCACAAAATTTCAAATCAATTATAAGAGTAAAATTTCAAAGATTTCAAGTGATTACCACTATCTAGATAAGCTGAAGCTGTCATTTTAAAAAGAAATTTAATAAAAGCTGTAATTATTTTCCACAATGATGAAAGTATTAGAAAAATGATTTTATTAAATTTATTATGTTTAAGTAATCGATTAAAAAAGATAGATTAATTGGTTCACAAACAGAAGAGAATGAGTTGAAACAGTGAGTTGATCACAAGATCCACAGGAGCGAAAATAATTATTTGCTAATCAGGTGTTGAAATTCAACACAGATTTCTAGCATTTTACCTATTTCACAATGCACTAACTAGCAGTACTTGAAATAATAAAGGCAGTATTTATGATTTTCTGCAATAACGTTGAATTTGAAAGATATATATATATAGCTTAACCTCTACGCAGTGTAACTTTTTGTCCAATTTTTTGGTTAGAAAAAAGCAAAAATGAAAAATATAAAAAACACGAATGCGTGAGTAGCATATGAAAACAAACTTCTAAATTACTATTTGTCCGATCAGTACAGAATCCCGTTTCATTATTGCATTTCGCATGGCAGTCGAAATAATGACAATCCATATCCTGCTTGCATATTCGATTAGTCAGCACTGCTTTCAGACGTGATTTAGTATACAGCATATCTGCATCCATCACCATAAATCTATATAATCACCAATGAATTTTTAAAAATATGAATTATGAAATAGAACAAGTATCTTGCTTTTCAGTTTAATTTCAATTTCACGATTCAGATGAAAATTTGATTAAAAATTACTGTTAAAAAAGGAAAATATTGATATATTTAATCTTTCTTAGTTGCGTCAAAATAAACTCTCTCGAACATAAAGGATTCAAGAAAGTTAAATCACATTTTTCGCAAAAAATATTACATTTCAAGAAGCATAGCATGCATGAAATTTCGTAAAAACTGACGAGAGTTGAAAAATTTCTATCCAACCTTTTTGGATAATCAGCAGCAAGCCCAAGATTATCAAATTTTATATCACACCATTGTAATGGTTCATTCAAAAATTCATCGAACAATTTCAAAGTTCCCATCAAATGGAGTAATATTTTAGCTTTCAAATTCATATAATAACCTTTCATATGGAATGGAACCAATGTTTCTACCTGATAGAAATGTCCACATGTACCAATGATCTATAATATGGATTTTTAATATATTTTCATAAGAATTTGAGATTTCTCTTCATGTCTATTAAGTTTTCGAAAATCCATTTAAAAAATATTCTTCTTGCGTCTAGTACTTTGCTAAAAATATATTTTCTTTGCAAGCAGAAAAAAATAAAAATTACAAGTTAAGAGTAACCCTATTTAAAAATTTACCAGACATTACAGACCAGAAACGCATCACACTAAATGAATTCATTATACCTTCGGTGTAACACGCGTAAGGGGTAGAACACGGAAAGTAATATATTCATCCTGGGAAAGAAGTGCCCATAAACTTCGACGATCGGCTTCAGACAATGAATCACGTTCTTTGCGAACATACATCGGCCAAAGAATTTCAATCAGATGATGTTTGTAATGTGAAGGCCAGCCCAACTTTAGATTATAATTAACTATGCCAAGTATCTGGAAGTAAAAAATTACAGTATGGAATAAATGCACAATAAAAGTAAAAATATAATCAGGATGAAAATAGTTTAGAATACGATTTTAAAAATATTATATAAATTTATAATTATCCACATTTCCCGCAAATGTTCTACCCTAAGTTTCACTTTCGTTATTAATTCCTAAGATATCGATTTATTCACTTCTTTCATTTCTTGGATCTTTCAAAAGTTTTAACTCATTACCATGAAAATTTCCTTATAAAACAAACCAATAAAGAAATCTTGTGCGATCAAAGATTTTGGAATGATGGAAAAATTAAATTAAAAACTTACAGCGTCAAAAAATAGGCTTTCATTAATTCGTGGATCCAAATGTTCAAATTCATCAATATATAAATGCTGACTTTTGAGCACAATCTCTTGTCCACCATCCTTGATCGTGATAACAATTTTATTTCCTTCATACATATCCAAAATACTCCACTTTTTATGGTAGCATAAACGATTACATAAATCACCGCTCACTTTTTGTTCCGCATAAGCTTTACACAAATCTAGCAAAATTTTATGCGCCCTAAAATCAATAAAGTTCTCAAACATTCCATGAATTATGAAATTTATTTATATTGAAGCGGCGCTGTTTAACTTGTAATAGCCAAGAGAACATTGCCATATCTTAGTTGACAGTAAGAAAAAATTATCGCCGAATGAATGGCTAATCTAGTCAAAGCGATCATGAATTGAGCACAAAAATGAAGAGGCTTGAAAAGCTGGTACGGAATGTAAATGTAACACGAAAATACATTTGAAATTTAGTTAACAACAAGAATATTGCCAACCGTGAATGATTACTTGGGGCTACTGTTGGGGCCACATCTGTCTGCACAATTGTATTGCTATTCCAGTCTATAATATTTGAAAAATTGCCAGTTATGAGTAAAAATAGATATTTCAGCAGATTATAAATTAGTATTATTTCTTTCTTAAATTTATGCGATTAAAACAGAATAAGAAAAAAACGAAAAAGAAAAAAAATAAAACAATCATGCAATATTAGAGAATCAAACAACAAATTATTTAGACCACAAATATTTAAAATAAACAAAATCTTCCCCAAAATTAGCCATTTAAAAAAAACAAGGAACTTACTTGAATATATCAAATAGATTGTTAACAGTGAGAAAAAGCAAGCCATAATGCGCCCCGGTTTTGAACAGAAAAACAATCGAACAGCACAGGGTCCAAGATTACTAGTACTGAAATAAGGATGGAAATTAAAAATATGGAATATAATTAAGAAATAAAACCATGCATATTTAATCATTTCCAATTCATTAACTTAGTAAAGCTAAAAGATGAAGGTAAAAGCCAAGATTAGACAAAATAATACGGTGGAACAAGGTGCGTAATATAAGTGAATAAAAGTTAGGCTAAAAGTTGTGCCAAAAAAATAGATGCACGTCCAAGAAATAAAATGATATCGATATTTAAATATAAATACGTCATTTCCTTGAATCGGCACAAGTAGTACATAGAAATATGATCATGGCTTGTATGTATTCTATATAAATACATTGTAAATCTAACTTTACCATCCGGTAAATTAAACGAAGCCTATGAGGGCTCTATGACTACATAGTGCTTGATTACTTAGGTAAAGAAAGGAAATATAAA